TTAAATATTTTTGAATTAGTACCGTAATGCTAAATAGATTTATTTACTCGCGTACACTCGTACGCGATAGTTTACGTAAATAAAATTATAATATTTGTTTGCAAATGAAACACTTTGATGTCTGGCAATTCGTAGTTAGTATCTCAACGTCGTGCAAATGATAATAAATAAATCTTATTGAAAACATTAAAAAAAATATAAATCTGATATATAAAGATGTTGTGTCAGTGTGTTTGTGGTCGCATTCCTCTGAAACTTCTCGACTGATTTTAATGATATTCTTTTTGTATGTTTGATAGGTAGGAAAATAGATTGTTAAATATTTTTCACCCTCCTACCTCCATGTTTTAATCGCGATGTTAGTATTTTGTATGAACTATATTATATAGATACATAGCGACGAACCGGTGAGGGTGAGTCGCTGTATCGCATAAAACGAAAAAGTTTTTTTTTGTAGTTTGAACGCGAGAGTAGCCGCGGGTTCTGCTAGTATTTTATAAAATCACCAACCTCTATTTTGGTATATTCGCTCGATATTCATGAAAGCCCAACTATTGTAATTGTGAATGTTTGTAAGTGTCCTACTGTTAGAAATCAAATATGCCTGAAGGTTGCGCCGCCTATCAAGACGCACGGTAGCGTGTCCAGCCAAGTTCAAGCCAAAGGAACTGGCGACGTAGCTCCGTTTGTATATATTTTACGCGGACCATTTGGAGCCACTTTTCACCTCGTTATAACTCAAAATCTATTTAACATAAACTCTTGAAATTTGGTTCATTCATTAAATCTCCTTAGATTAACTAGTATTCCCAATTTCATAAATACAGCTCAAACGGTTATAGAGATATTAACGTCTAAAAATCGTCATTTTCACTGACTTAACTAGGGACATACTGAAGTTCAAGATTTGACTTGGCTAGTTTTTACATACAAGTTATCTTTCATTCGGTTAATCACTTATCTTCTTTATGCTATACGCAAGCTATTGTTTTTATATGTAAGGTCAACATATCTCACTCTTCTAAAATCTTGCTTTACTTGTGAAAACTAGCCAAATTAAATCTGGAACTTCAATTTATCCAAAGTTATCAACTAAATTTAAGAAGTTCTATTTTTAAATAGCAAACACTTTTGTAGCAGAAAAAAAGGAGCGAGGCGTGGATACCCTCTTATTCTAGTTTTTATAACTTCATTTTCTAGTTCATGCTTAACACGAACGAACGTTAATATGAACTAAGTTCTTCACGAAGCGAATACGCAATACTTATATTTAACGTTATCAATAATCAATTCTTTGTTATGATAATGATTTACTACAATGGCAGCGGTCGTTTGTCGGCGCTTCTCGGGATGAGTGTTATCATGCAAATGCATAAGGATTCTGACAGATACATATGTATATATTGTGTACGTATGTATTATGCACAGATAACAACAAAAACTTGAAGTATTATTTAATGAATGAAGAGAAAAAATACGCTGAATACTTTAAAAACCAAAACTAGATATATTCCAAGTAAGGTAAGGTAGATAAAGTACAAAAAATATATAATAAATACTCAAGTGGAAATCAAATTCACGGTCTTTCCAAGGAAGGGCAGTCGCGTCGGTGGTATTTAGAATTTACTATCGAGAATAAATTGTTAAATATTTGTCAAATAAATATTCACGTAAAGAGAGTATTTAACCATTCATCTGATTTCGATAGGGACTTTGTGGAGGCGTACTTTATACACCAGCCTGGGAATTATTGACATAAAGTAGGTACTTTTATAATAGAAAAATATTTATTAATATAGTAAACGAAACTAGAGGTGGCTGCTTGTATATATAATAAAATTGTCATAGGATAAAATTAGCTTGATGTAATAGAGGCTATATGTTTATTTTTAATTTTATGTTTGTTTGTCATCATATCTCGGGCATCATTTATTTTTGAAATTTGAACAAACTGGCCTTAGAGGGCAATATGTAACAAGAAAGCAGTGGTAAAAACTAATATGTGAACTTTATATTGAAAGGATATATAATAAAAATATTGTTAAATTAACAAAATCATTATTTAATTTTGGATTATTTTTTGAATTCACATATTATATCCTATGTCATTTCCCAAAAACCATTTATCATTTTTTTTATGATAATAATATTGTGAACGCTGATAAAATTGCTAGCGACTAGCGATACTACCGGTCGTAGGCGCGAGCAGTAAATATTAGATAATAATAATTATATACACATATTATGTATGGATAAACAACAATAGTGTGAATTATCAAAGTTTGTACATAATAATTCATGATATATTGCATCGTTATCAGTGACACAACCAGGCAGTGCCTAAGCGTCTGTTTCACTTCCACATTAGTAATATTAAGCTGCGTTTGTCCTTCTGTATATCAATTTTTTAATTATATTATACTAGCGACTCACCCTCGTTCCGCTTGGGTTCGTCCCTAGTTACATTTTAACGTTTAGGATAGATTTCTCAGAGATGATATATTTTAACGCAGAAAAAACTATCTTATATGTTGACCCGAATAACCAGCTATCATCATACCAAATTCCATCATAATCGATCAACTGTTTTTCTCGTGACGCGTTCCCAGATAGAAAGACAAAACATCTAAAAACTTCGGCCTTTGTATCGATAATAATGACTAAGGTTTTCGAAAAATATTTAATGTACAGATTCGACTCAGTTAGAATTTTATTATATGTATAGACTAGTGACATATCCTTGCTCCGCTCGAGAGCTTCCTTTGGTACCTAACAGAATCCTATGTGTTCCTCCAGGTTAGTCTATTTACTCATTCATATACATAATATATATACCAATCCAGCGGGACTCAAACCCGCGACCGCTGGCACAGCAAGTAGAATGACTACAAACTGAGCCATACGTGTCGTCTAATGAAATGAAAATATGTTTAACTTTTAATATTTAAAAATCGAGAAATAGAAAAAAATTATAATAACAATAAAGTGACTTAAACGTACTTAAATATATCATCAATGATTTATAAATAAATTACAAACAACTCTGTTATATGGTCCTTACAAGTGGGCTGAGTAATGGTAGTGATAATTAATTCTTTCACTATTCAAAAAGAAGTATGTTGGGTAAGAGTCCCTAAAATTAATAGAGCTAAGTACCTCACAGATGCAAATAGTTTGTATTTTATTGTAACTGCATTTTACCTCTGAAAGAAAATTTTCCCCCCTTCGCATTAAAATAATAAGGTACACAGCGTGTTTATTTTAAAAGTCTCATACAAATCGATTTCTTATTAGAGAATATATCACATCATACAATCATTCAACCAAATTCGATTGTTTAACAAATGTGACTCTTACTACGATTTTCATTTTGTTAAATCTTATCTATTACCTACTTAATACGAGTATTTTAGCTATATAAATATTAAAATAATACACAAAATTAATTAACTATGCACACAATATGTTGTGTATTAATTAGATAAATCATTATAATACATTAAAACACTTAGGTATTATTAATAAAAAAATATAGGTAATTACAGTAGCGCTAACTAAGGACTGGTAAGTTGGCAACTACGGGTGTTTGTTGAAATAAGAATTTATCATTTGCATATTAGTGCAATAAACGATTTGAATATTTTTAATGCTCAAAATAAAATTAATAAGAGTTTATGTCGTAAACCTAAGAAATTATACTGTCGTAAGAACTCTCCCATCGTCTCCAACGAGTACACAAAATATTGAAAATTTTGTGCAATACCACCGAATCTCCTACTACTAATACTATCGTAATAGAGTTTTTATGGGTGTATGTATGTTTGTTAATCCTTTACTTTGAAACAGTTTAGTACACAAAAATATGACGAGGGGCAAAAATACCACATTAGCTACTGCATTTATGAACGGGACAGAAACGAAGATAACTCGCTAGTATAATATTGTATTTAATAGTTCCCCGATGATTAACTAACGATTTACGTCACAACAATACTAATATTGAATTTGCTCCGTCCGTCTGTTTCTTCTTTATCGCGAATAAACATTCAAAACTATCTGTCAGCTTGGCATTTGTTATCTTAAAACTCAGTTTTAAATCATCACACATTTCCTTAAATTACACAAATTAATATTAAAATATTGTAGTGACAAGTGTGACGTGAAATGTAGCTTAATAAGTGTAAATAAGTCATGTTGTAAATGTAAATAATTTGCCAATATAAAAAATGCACAAGCACAGTAACAGAATAGCTTACTGTTTATTATTATTAATAACTAGTGGATTAATTAGAAATACAAAAACAAAACTATCCCACGGGAACCGTATATTCTTCCGGGATAAAAAGTTAGCCTATAAATTTTGATGTATTTATATATTATTGTCAAGTTTCATTAAAATTCATTCAGCAGTATTTTCGTGAAATTGTAACAAACACCCATACATCTATACATCAAGACATCCTCACAAACATTCACATTTATAATATTAATATAGATTAAATGAACTTCATAAGTGTAATACCAGCGTGTCTCGAGACATTTAAACAACAATCACATGAAAAATATTTAGTATGAAGATAATATAAGTATTTAATAAGCAAATAACTTGCTTGAGTCTTCTCCTTTTGGTAAGAAAAATCTTATAAGAAGTAAAATAAACTCACAATCACAACTAATAATAATAACAAATCGACTTATTTTCTAAACCGCTAGCGGTTAATGAAGTTGCAAACTAAAAATTTTTTACATTCACTCGATTTTACAATAAGAATAATTGAAAACACCGTGATCGATATTGAAACCTTATATAAACATTACTGATGATGCCCTTGAGGGAGGCTGCTACGCAAATGCATTGAAGTTCCAAATATATGCTAATTTTAAAATTAAGCACGTTTTGTATCAATATGAAAACATCCAATAACTTCACACAGAAATAAAAGAGCACAAAAAATTTTAAAATTAAAAAAAAAATATATTCATTAGTTAAATAAACATACCTGTAACCATTTCCTCCGAGTTTCTGTCAAAAAATCTGCTAACACCATGTTCACGAAGTTTAATGTAGAGACACAATGTAGAGTTAACACGTGCTTCTCGTCGCGAAGTCGGACAGGGAGTGCGCGAGGGCGACTACCCCTCTCTCCCACTCCGCCCGCACATATCGCATTTTGTAGAGGACGGACTTTATACTAACGAGTAGCGATACACTGCTACATAGCATCACTCATCCTGTACAGCAAACTTTCTATTGGTTGGCTTGGTTAGATTCCTAATCTGTATAGAGATATGCGTATTATAAAAAAATATTCGATTACATCTTTATTGTGATAACAAACTTGAATAAAGAAGTTAAAAAAATAGTTTGTTGTGTACGGGGTTTTCAGGATGTGCAACCGCCATCGTTCAGTGTGACAATGCCTACTTCAAAGATATTTGCAATTCGATTTCCTTACCGCAAGATGCTGTGTTATGAATGTACATTGTACGGGATAATCTTTATCCTCAAAAGGTTTAAAAAAAGCTAACCATAGTTGTTGGGAAAAAATACATCACTCTTTACGTAATATGCAGAGAGTAGAAAGTAGGAGATAGCAAATTCCTAATCTTTATATTTTTTTCAAAGGAGTGCTCAAATTGCTCCTCTGGGTCTCTATGGATTTAAATAATACAAAACACGTCTTAAATTCCGACAGTTACAGCAGATTACTTAAAATATTTCTTTGACGACATAATTATTATTCTATCCACGTGGGAAATGCGTTGGCCACCTGTCCTCCTCCATCTAACACAGGTGGTGGGACGGCGTGGTTCATCACGCGGAACCGAAATAGCTATTTAAATACAGCAATAGGTATACTCATCATTATAGCAGAGCGATGAAGTCTACTAAAAATGTAAATGTAAATAAATAAGTAAATAAACACCATATTTCATCACAAGTACCATTAAAAGAAGCTTAAATTTTTACGTTTAATTTTTTATTTTAAGAGTACCGCAATCCACGTATTTATAATAGGGGTTAAAGTATGAAATTGCCGATTTGTACGGAAAAATTTAAATTCTTTTTTTTTTAATTTAATATATTTATTTAATGAAAATAATTACCATCGTTATCTATACATTGCTGCCATCTAATAGGAAGGTCATTTATGCCTTTGCGATAGAACTCTGATGATCTAAATTCGACAAACTGTGTGAAAGCATTTTGTACTGCCTCCTGAGAAGAAAACCGGCACCGGCACCGGCTTCGAAAATATCTGATTAGGTATCTATTCTAAATTAAAACCCCCGTTTAGTTATTTTTTTACATTTTAGTGCCTAGCAGTAGGTTTTAAAAAAAAATGTTTTTATAGTCGTAATTATTTTACAACTCACCCTCGTTCCGCTCGGGTTCGTCCCTAGTTAAGTTTTAACGTTTAGTATAGATTTCTCAGAGATAAGATATTTTTCCGCAATAAAAAGTATTCTATGTATATGTTGATCCGGATAACCAGCTATCATCATACCAAATTTCATTAAAATATTAATAATTGTAATGCGTTCTCAGACAGACAAAGAGACAAAATTTCTAAAAACTATAGATTCGGCCATTGTGTCTATAATAATGATAAATTCAATAAGATTTTCCAAAATATAATTTATGTACAAATTCGACACGGTTCGAATTTTATTATATGTATAGATGGAAAGGAACTCTAAAGTTTGAGTTTAGTACATCAAATCAGTCCCGAAACTATCGTCACGTATTATGAGATTTTATCATCCACACCCACTTTAAAAAACTATATTGTTCAAAATAATATGTTTATAGTACAAAGTGTTAATAAATAGATATGAAAATATTAATAAAATTCGTTATCTATGACAAAACAATGCGTTTTACATTAACGTAGTTGTGTTAATTGAACATAATTTTTTTAATAACAAAATTAGATCCTAATTTAAGTGATGTACCAAAAATATATCTATACACCGAAGTGCGTATTTGTCCAATAATATATATATGATTTTCACATGTCTAACGGTGAAGAAAAATATAGAGAGGAAATCTGCATGTGTGAGTGAACCTAGCAAGTTTTCGAAAGACATGCTCAGTCGGCCCGCACTTGACCAGCCAGATCGTGCCCAGCAGTATGACGTTAAAAAAATATCGAGTGAATAAAAAAAATATTTTATATGATTATAATAGAAAACAACCCTAACATATTAACTTTATGTAGAAACATGCTTCACTAATAGCCTGCCCTGCCTTGCTTTGGCCTTTAATTTTCTTAAATACACTAAAAAAAATATTACCTTCACAAAAACTTATATATAAATATTATTTTTAATTTATGTTTATATATAAGTTTTTGTGAAGATATAATTTTTAAGACATTATATTTATTAAGATTAATATTACAAGTTCAGTATTTAGCAGATTTTTAAGTAATTTGTGTGTTTTAATTTTCTACTATCACTTTATCTAAAAACATCGTTAATATCTTAAACTAATAAACTCTAAAACACCGAGATGAGATTCAAGCGCTATCTATACAAACCAGAGCAAGGTTGCAACAAGATGTGCGTCGCTCTAAAAACCTATCTGATAGTTGCTTCGTAACCTTGTTTATATGTGTAGTGTATATTCTTAATTTTTTTATCTACTTAATAAAACTCTCACAGATCGACAACGTTTACCCTAAACCGTAAGTTAAAACCATAAAATTAAATATTTTATGTTGGCTTAGCCCTTTTTAACAATCCACTACTGGGCATGGGCCTACTATCAATACGATAAGAATCAGGCTATAGTCTACCAAGTCCAGATTGGCGGACTTCACATGTTTGTAGAACATCTATGATAAACGTCTCTATTGTTTATCTATATGAAATACTAAACCAAAAAGGATGACGGATGGTTTATATGCAGTTTTGAAATTAGAAATGGATATTGATGCTAAAAGTATACGAGTATATTGTCAATGGGAATGGCTCACGTGCTTGTATACAAATAAAATTAGTTATTTAAAAAAACTGTTAAACTAACATTGTTGATGAATTTCATTTGGCGTTTTAGATATTCTTGTTATTTCACATTTCGTTGCTTACATAATTAATATATGCACATGTTATGAGTATAAAATCTATGACAGAACCCGCGAGTCTGCCTGGCTAGATAGTGCTAAGCTGATGCCACTAAGTAATATCGACTCCCTTTGATATCCGTAATAATTTTATAAATGCAGATCGGTGGTATTTTTCGTATACACTCAAAGAGGTTTAATGAAAGTCAAAGAGGTTTAATGAATGTCACGTAGACTGTAGAACTTAGAAGATATGAGGGAGATTGAATTTAAAAAAAAAGATTATTAGTTATGGAGTTAAACTTTACGTGTAAAGTGGTCTCGTTTTCCGCACTTAGACTCCCTTCTGGTCCGTTGTACGTGGAAAACTTTACGTGTATATATTACGTATGATATTAGAACAAATGTGGACCGATTCTTATTGCTCTTTTTTTAATAAGCAGGTTGTATCGAGATTGTTCCAACATATACATATATAATACAACTACTTTAATAATGACAATTTGGTGGCGCAAATAATCAATTAGTAGTCTAATACTCGTATAATCAATTCCTAGTTTTCAATATCAAAGTCCTTGATAAATAAATACGCTGGGACACAGCGCCAGCTATTTCCACGGTAAGCTACGAGGCTTGTGTTATGGATACCAGATAGTTGATACACTACACATATATAACTTTATATACATACATATTATAAATATAAACACCCATGACTGGAGTACAAACATTCGTGCTCATCACACAAATAAATGCCCCCAGCGGGCCTCAAACCCGCGACCGCTGACATAGCACGTAAGACACTATAAAGTGAGCCAAACTTATTTTTTGATATTATTTATATTGATAGTATATTAAAGTTAATATTGGAAGTTGTATAATATTAGTATATTACTTTTTCAAAGGCTTTGAGATAGTTCCACGTTAGCTTTCCACGTAACTTGTTGTGTGACATAACACTTCCCTTGCAAGTGTCGTTCTCATTTGTCGGGAACTAGGGTTTGACAGTCACTTATTTGGAACATCCTCATAGTTGGTTTTAGATTACGCGCGTTTCGTATTTTTTTATCTTATTTTATTCTATACTAGCGACTGCCCCGGCTTCGCCCAGCTAAATTCATATATACCTACAAACATATATTTATGTTTGTATATACATATGCGACGAAATTACTAATTGTATGTACATTGTACAACCTAATACATAATTAATTAAATTTAATCTCACTGATCATGTCGAATTATTGTCCCACCGGAGTCTAAGCTTGACGGAAATAGAGCGGACATTGTAACAGTGCACTTTTACATGTAATAAAATTCTGAGTCGAATCTGTACATTAAATATTTTTTTGAAAATCTTATTGAAATAGTAATTATTATCGATAAAGTCCGAATCTATAGTTTTTAGAATTTTTTTCTGTCTGTCTATCTGGGAACGCATCACGAGAAAACCACTGGACCGATTATGATGAAATTTGAATTAAAAGCTGGTTATCCGGTCAACATATAGGATAGTTTTTACTGCGGGGAAATATATCATCTCTAAGAAATTCATACTAAGCGTTAAAACGTAACTAGGAGAGTGAGTTGCTATTGCACTATAATATGTTCTGTGCAGTTGGCTTGTGTCAGTGAGATTGGCCGCCGTGACTGAACTCGGCCAGGAGGTGATCATTTAATTTCATATATGGTACAGATGCATTATACATAGTACTATGTTAGAAATTGTCACGGACGCCTGAACACGGACTTTCCTTAGTTTTCTAATAATGAAATGAATGGTAAAGGAAATTAAGAGAAATGAATTAATAAGTAATTATAACTTATTATGTTCAGCTACAACTTAATATGACTAAAAAAAGTTACATACATCACTAATAGAATTTGATATATCATGATCAATCACCGTGTATCCGCGTATATATCATAATCTGCCAAGTTCAAGCCTAAGGAACTGGCGATGCAGCGCCGTGTGTATA